GAGTTTTATAATAGTCAAGATAACTATAAAAACTAGGCGACATATATTTCATTTATTGTATATATGATTAATATAATTTTTATTTTAGTGAAATTTATTATTATATTTATCGTTGATAGTATTTAAAAAAATTTATTTGCTTATAGGGCTTATTATTTATTTTTTGTTTAGGACCCTACAAAAACCCGAGACGGCCCTGTAATAACTAGAAGACATCAGTAACATGTGTCATGTTTGAATCTCATGTAATAACATATGTTGTAAATCGGCATGGATCAGGTGTTGAATGTTGAATACCTTAAATCATAATTACTTTTAATTATATTAATTACAAAATTTAATGATAAAAATTAAGATTTTATATCATAAGTTTTTCAACATAATTTAGCACTGATTTTATCAGCACCACCAGATCCATTTATATTGTAAATATCATTTTGATAATCAAGATATGCAAAACATTCCTTTTAGGTTTTTGTTCATAGCCTTAAATAGAAAAGTAAAAAATTATAAGTTAACATTGTAAAATTAAAAAATCAAGATAAAAAATACATAAAAGAAAGTACAACAATACAGTAATTTAATTCGATCAAAATGATATACCGCTAGAGGCAGCCAAACTAATTATTTTTTCTAATATTTTCGATATAATTTGAAGAAAATACATCAAGTATTTATAAAAATTAAATGCAAAAGTCTAGTAATACAAAAATTGTACAAATGGCCCAAATGTTTTTTCGGGAGACGGGAAGAGATATATCTATTATTCTTTCAATTTTTCTCTTAGTGATTCGTAACTGTAACTGAGATGTTGAATATACAATATTCTTTCAATTGGTTGTTCTTTGCAATTTTGATTAAAAGAGAAGGCTCATTGGCTAAATTTGTTGTATGTTACGTTCTTTTATTTTATTTTATTGTATTAAAAATTTTAAACTATTACAGATACGTCGTCATTAATTATTTAACTAATATAAGAGAGTTCCTGACAGAGAGACGTATTTATCAGTGAAAATGTAAAAAGGTTATTTCTAAGTTCACTCTTTTGTTTTGTTTGCCTCTTTTCTCCCTGCACCTTTCAATTGGTTTCCATACTTAAAGACTTTTTTGAATATTAAACATCGAATAATTGGTTTCTATACTTACGACTTTTTTTTTTTTTTTTTTTTTTTTAATATTAAACATCGAATAATTAGATATAGCCTTTGGTTATTTTATTTATTAAATTATTTAGGGTTGAGTGAGTGAACAGGTGTGCTTCTCAACTGGCCAGTGATTCAATTGGCTTCCAATTATAATATAGTAACACGATTGGTCTATCTCCATCAAGTTAGGAGACCAATCTGCCACCTTCGCTAATTCCATTCTTTATTTTATTCATATAAAAAATTATGATTTTTTTTTTTAAATTCTTTAGGAATAGTAAAATATTGGATAATTTGATGTAATACTTTTTGAAATAAAATATATGCATCTAATTATATGTTTTTTATATGTAAAAAATATAGTAATATTTGTTGATAAATAATGTTCACATATGAGATATATTGTTATGTTAAATTGAAATGTTACTTTTAAATGTTTAAATATTGATCATTAAGGGGGTTTTTTATTTTTATGACCATTATATAATTTTTCAATTTTTTTTTATTCAATATTTATTTTTCATACAAAATATTATGTGCAATAGTTAGAAAACATCAAAATCTAAAATAGATAGAAACACTAGAATGACACTCTAAAATTTTTGTTTATGTATTGCATATATTGATTCAATATATTAAATACTAATATATATATATATATGAAGGGTTTGTTTGTTTGTTTTGGTACATAGAATTGTGTAGATAATATAAAAATAATATTTTATATCGGATGTTAATTTCTTTTGAGATGATAAATATATTATATATATATTGAAAATCGTGTTGAAAAAAATAATTTTTTGGAAAAACAAACTCAAACTGTTGATCCAAAATATTGGGTAGTATTAATATAATTGCTCATATAAAAAAATTGCTATAAAATTATTGTTCATACGTTGTTTTACTTTATTAAATATATTTATGTAGATGTGCATGATATATTATTTCATAATATAATAATTTAATTTATGTTCAGTGACATAATTATAGTATAATATACTGATTCCAATATTGCAATACTAAATATTATTCCTTTCGTTACATCTAGTGTCTATGTTGTGTTTTTAGTTTGTCCCACATTTTATGTCTCTTTTTATTTTTTTTTAAAAAAAAAAGAATTTATCAATTTAATTATATTTTAAATAGTTTATAATTCTAATTTAATTAGACTAATTAATTATTTTGATTTTCATTTATAATCATTGTATTATACTGTAATTGCTGTTACTAATTTATTTATTAATTATTTACTAATTATATTGAATTTAAAATTATGTAATACCTTTGTCCGGCTCTAAGAATTTTATTTACTTTTTGTGTATTAATATTTGAATATTAATTATTATATGAAAACATAGTACAAATTAAGGAAAAAAGTACAAATACTTATATTAGTGTCTTATAATACTATTATAATGACATTTGTGCAAAATATTATATAAATATAAGGATATTTTTAATGTCAAGTACAATAACGCAAAAGATAAATGAGACTCTCAGAGCCGAACAAAGAAAGCATATCATATATCATACTACCTCCGTTCGACTCTAAAGGTCCCAGTTACTTGTTGCGTATTGATATTTGAATAATAATTATTATATCAAAACGTAATACAAATTAAGAAAAAAATTGCAAAAATACTTCTATTAGTGTATTATAATACTAATAGAAGGAAGAAATATAAGAATATTTTTAATGTTAATGACAATGACGTAAAAAATAAATATGACCCTTGAGGACGGACGAAGAAAATATATGATATGTGAACGGATGGAGTAATCAGCAGCAATACTTTTCCCATATCTTTTCTTATCTGTATCCATATATATATTTATATATATATATATATATAAATAAAAAATTAAAAAAATAAAAAATAAAAAAAAAAAAAAGAAGGTAGTGAAGAAGAAAAACAAAGTTGCTTTAAGTTGTGGCGTGTGGTGCAGAAAGCTAAGCAGGGATTGGTGAGTTTAATTGTAAGAAATTAATAGAAGGGTGAAGAAGAACAAAGTAGTCAAGTCATCATGTTTAATTAATTATAATTATTCATATATAATTGAATTTGAAGATGTTTCTTCAACTTAATTTTATTTTTTTATTATTACGTGAGCGTATCTCATTCAGGGTATGTTTCTTTATTTAAAATTTTTCAAATTTTATTATTTAGACTCTGCGTTTCCGAAAAAAAGAATACATTTTTTTTCTCTCACAAAATATCTTATCAAATATTATTTTAATACCAAACTTAAACCAAAATTTTACCAAACTTATCGAAAGAAACATACCCTAAATAAATAACTTTATTTATATATATATATATAGACATGTGTGTGTATTTAATTTGTTGAGTGGGTTCCCCATCATTGGCCACTCTTGTGTTTTGTTGTGTTGTTCTCCATGAGTTGTCGATTGTTCCATGGCCACTCTTTATTATATTCATTTTCATTTTTGGTTTAAAATATATTTGATGAATGCTTTATCTTATAGATTACTCATTCATATACACATTAGATATTAAAATTGTAAGAAGTTTCTTGAGAGAGAGAGAGAGAGATCTTGCTTTATTAATGTTGTGCCTAATAGCACATCATCTTGTTAATATGGGTAAATATTTAATAGGTATAAAAAGAAATTTGAATTTCGTTATTACATGATAACTAGGGTGGGCAAAGATTCGATTATTTGCAAGTATATAATTATTTGGTATTTAAGTCAATCAAACAAATACTCCAAATTGTAAATTGCATTCTAATTGAAAAAATTTTGGTTCAATTTGGTTAATTTAATACTCCATTCGTCTCATAACAAAATATTCATTTTTCCATTTTAGTTTGTCTCATAACAAAGTATCCATTTTTCCATTTTATTCCGTCTCATAACAAAGTATCCATTTCTTTTTTTAGTAACTGTACTATCTACCTAACATTATAAATACTCTTACAACTTACAATATATTACACAAATATCATTACATTTATATCACACATACTAATAAGGTTATTTTAGTCATTTTTACTTTATTCCTACTATATTTCAATATAATACTAAAATTTTTAAAATTACGTGCAAAAAACAAATGGATATTTACTTATGGGACGGAGGGAGTATATAAAATTTAAAATATAATAATATAAAATATACTACTTTCGTCCGATTTCAAGAGTTTCATTTAGTTTATGCATGTTGATCTTTCAATATTAATTATTATATTAAAATGTAATACAAATTAAGGAAAATTGCAAAATACTTCTATTAGTGTCTTATAATGCTAATAGAATGATATTTGTACAATATATATATATATATAAATATCAAAATATTTTTAATATTAAGTATAATGACGCAAAGGTAAATATGACCCTTAGAGGCAAACAGATGAAGTATTTGATTCGATTTGGTTAATTGAAAAAAAATATATATTTAAAATTAAAAGTAAATCGAACTGAATAAATATTAAATGTGCAATATTTATATTTGAATCAAATTTGTTTGATTAATCGAGAATTCTGTTCGGCAATTTAATTTAGTTTTTTTGCTCACCTTTAAATTAACGGACAATTGGGCAAAAATCCCTCTGTCCATTTATCATTTGGGATTCAGTCCCTAAAGATAAAAACTTGCTCTGCACTCCCCCCTTTTTCCTTCTTCCTTCTTCTTCCTCCCTAATCGTATTTCTCTTCATTCTGTTTCTTTTCGCGCAAAAAATTCTTGTGAAGCCGTTGTCCTCTTCCGTGAGCTCGAAAGCCACATCCCGCACAGGTAAGCTTCTTGTCTGGTTCGATTGAAAAATTTCCTACGGCACTCTCCGAATCCTGTTCCGGTTCCCTGTCGTCGGCAGTCGGTTGATTCGGTCGAAGAACTACCGAAGGCTGTCACCGGTTCCGTGGCCCGTATTTCTTGGTCTCCGGTGAAATTAGATGTACCAAGTGTGTTGTGTCGATTGATTCGGTCGAAGAACTACCGAAGGCTGTCACCGGTTCCCTGGCCCGTCTTTCTTGTTCTCCGGCGAAATTAGATGTACCAGGTGTGTTTTTGTATCGATATCTTAGTTGGAAAATTATTATCTCGAAGAAAATGTTTGGGTATTATCTTGGGTGATTTTGATAATAAATTTTGTTGCTATTTAGGGTTTAAGGGTAATATTTATTTTGTGAAATGGGTAATTTGTTGCTATTGAGGATCAAGACATTACTAGAATTCCGTAAGAACATATGATTTTAGTGTATTTTGTGTAAGATTATCTAATCGCCCATACGACCTAATATAGTTCATACGTTCATCGGTTGGATCGCTAGGTTCCGATGGACATGGAGCAAAGTAGTCTGAAATTATTAATTATATGTTCCTACGAAGGTGAGCATCATGTAATTCGTTTAGAAGAGGGCACCACGCTGGAGGATCTTTACCGGAATATATCGAAAAGATGGAATAAAGTGAGTATTGAGGCGGTAAAACTCCAATATATTGCACCTATTCAGAAAAGCTACGTGACGTTATTGTGTGACGATGATGTCGCAAATATGTGGAGAATGCATATCTTGTTAAAGGTAATGTTTGTGGATATGATTGCACGGTGCAGAAGCGAGCACCAGAGCGTGCCTCTCCGAAGCACGGTTGGACGCAGGTACGTTACTCATCATTTGTAATTAAGTAGTCTTTATTAAACTTTGTTATAGAATGCAGTCACAATTGTTCCTTATGAAAGAATGCAGTCTGTAAGCACTTATAATGCAATATGTAAGAATGCAGTCTGTAAGCGCTTATAATGTCATGTTCAACATATCTAAAAACATATTGTTCATAGGTTACGTTAGTAATAATTCTTTCATGATATTGGCATACAACAATACCGTGGTATATTGTTGCGATGTTGTTTGTAGGTAGTAAGTATCCACCTCCGCGATTTTGTAGTAGCGCGGTGCAGAACGAACCACTGAAGAGATTGTAAAGATATATAGTGGGGATATAACGTCTTGAAGGTATTTAACGATTTTCACTCCTTCTTCACACGCCACTGTCAATATCCTCTAGCAATCCGGTTTAGGTAGGTGTACCATGATCGATGCCTTGAAATTTCTGTAGCCCATGGCATTTATTGCATCACGTAGCCTGCTGCGGTGAATAGATGCAGTTGTTCTTTTAAATACCCTGGATGACACGGTAGGTAACCATAGACACCGTGGACATACTCGGTCGAGTAAGATGGGTACCCATGTTTTTCCCTTTACTCTGAAAATATCTATTACCATATAAAATTAGAACTACTTACATCTGATATAATTTTCATTCTTATTATTGTATTTGTAATGTAGGGGTGAGGCCGAATGTTCTGGATTGAACGAAGATTGCGCCGATGGTATCTTTATTCCCGACGAAAGTACTAGTCTAATTGCAATGCAGAGATGCATTGTCGGGGAAGGGCAGACATTCAAGGGACCGCAGGAGTTTAGAAAGTTACTGAAGAATTATTCTATTGCCACTCAGAAACACTTCAGGTACCAAAAGAATGATTCGAGCAAAATTATTGCGGTGTGCATCGACAAAGGCTGTGGTTGGCGTATTTATGCATCCTTCCATGCTCGTGATGCATCATTCAGCATTCGTAAGTGCAATTTACATCACACATGTACTATGAGTCTATTGCAATCAAGAGATCATCCAGCAGCCGATGCGAACTGGATTTCTGAGGTGTACAAAGATAAGATACGTTCTATGCCAGCGTATAAGGCATCCGACATCCGGGAGCATATCCAAACAGATTATGGGATTGACGTGAAATATCATAAAGCATGGCGTGGCAAAGAGAATGCGATAAGGGCAATTAATGGTGGAGGTAGAGACAGTTTCTCACAACTTCCGTGGTACTGTCATGCACTTCGGGAGTCAAATCCGGGAAGTATTATAGACTGCGAAGTTGAGCAGGCAACCAAACGTTTCCAACGCCTTTTTGTTTGTTTAGGTGCATGCCGGCTGGGTTTTTTGAGGGGTTGCAGGCCCCTACTCTTTCTTGATGGGACACATATAAAAAACAAACACAAAGGGTGTCTGCTAAGTGCAATTGCAGTGGATGGGGATGATGGGATGTTTACTTTAGCATTTTCTGGTACGTAATTTGATATTAGCTACAGTTGTCATTATGTTAGAATGCTGGGTATAGGTGTTCGTGTATGCTGTTTTCCATGCTCTCTTTAGGCACGTATGTACCCTTATACGTTGGAAACCTTTGTAGTTATTTGTGTTCTAATTTGTTGACTTGCAGCTGTGTCTACGGAAAATGATGAAAATTGGGAGTGGTTTTGCTGGAAGCTGCGATCTGTTTTAGAATGTGAGGGACGCACGGATTGGAAACAGTACACATTCTTCTCGGATCGGCACTCGGGTTTACTAAAGTCAATCTCGTGCGTCTTTCCCGGAGCACATCATGCGTACTGTCTCCGACACTTAGTGGACAACTTCCGTACCCAGGTACATGTACGTCAATAGTAATTTGTAATGAACATCACTGGTTATGATCAGCCATAAAATGTCTTTTTTTTAGGTTATGCGGAGATACCCAATGCATAATAAGAAGCGATGGACCGCTGTCTTCAATAAGGCCGCCTATGCTCCGTTGAGGAGAGATTTCGAAAACCACATTAGTTCTGTGGTCGAATCAATGCCATTGGCCAGGGACTTCATTACCCAATCACACCCAGAATGTTGGGCAAATTCACTATTCAAAGGCACTCGTTGGGGAATAATAAATAATAACATTGCTGAGTCATGGAATAGTTGGGTGAGGTCCGCGAGGTCAATGCCATTCGTTGGGATGTTGGATACCATTAGAAGGCAAGTGATGGTAATGATGAATGAACGCCGCGAAAAGTCGGAGATAATGCACGGAAGGCTCTGTCCAAAACAGGAGAGCAAGTTGGCACTATCGTACATGGCGTCTCGACGGCTACAGTGCAGTTCATCCTCTAGAACTGTATTCGAGGTAACAGATTGTAATGAAAGATACGCAGTCGATTTGGAGGCGCGCAAATGCTCTTGTCGAGAATGGCAAATGTTCCGATTGCCCTGCAAGCATGCCTGCGCTTGCATTGAAAAATGCAGTATGTCAATTTATGATTTTTGCGATCTTTACTATAGCATTGAATGCTACAGAAAAACGTACCAGGAGCCAATAAATCCCGTACCGACGCATGATATGGACGTGATTGTTGAAATTGAGGCGGACCAAATTCACCCTCCTCCGTCGTCTGTCCAACCAGGCCGGCCAAAGAAGCAAAGGTTCGAGTCCCAGCAGGTAAAGAATGCACGAAAATGTGGTCGTTGTGGGCGTCTTGGACATAATAGAAGAAGTTGCAAGCAACGAATAGATTAGCGAACCTTTTTTTCATTGTACATCTTTTTGGCTTCCAGGAGTATATATTAAGACAGTAGGTACATATTCAATAGCTATATTGTAATTGTTTTTTGTGTCTCTAGGATGTAACCGGTTGGATCCATCGACTTATTTGCAGTAGTAAGTGGTATGTAGCCCTCTCACGCAGGTATATGATGAAGTTGTGAAGGTTCATAGTTATATTCTGCAGGTATATTTTTCATGTACTGAGGCATTTGATTATGTAGCTCTGTAGGGACGGATGGTTAATGTAATATCTAATTGTTTTGAAAGTACATGCTATCCTATTTTTGGGTTATTACTATGAGGTATAGTTGTTGTATTAAACTCGTCATACTAACCAACTGCATGTCTCATACAACTTAAGTATTTGTTGATGCCTTCTTTAACCATCAGCAGTAAATACATGCTATTTGAAGAAAAGAAAAAAAAAGACCGTTTCCCCAGCCACAGGTAACCAGGGCATACATAATTGCAACTGAAGTATAATGTCACGGTTGTTTTAAGTACGCAATAGCTTACAGAGGGTATATGAATAATGATTCCAACATATAGGGTTGCGGTCCGAGTAGTAACCATATTTTATTTTGTTTATACAGTATTCAAATTGTATTACCGTGTAATAACTTGGAGGCGTAGTATTGATTAAAATTCAGCACACAGCTACGTACCAGACTTCCATATGCCACACAACTATATTGTGGTTATATTATCGTGTCTATTCTATTGTGTTCTAATTCAATTAATGGGTAAACGATGTAAGTATAATCTGTGGCCTAAAACACGTATGTCAAGATTATGGGGTTGACGAGAAACGCTACCATGGTTAAGCCAATACACTCTTACCATCAGTTCATGAATATTTTAAGAGAAAAGGCCGAGTCCCCACCCGCAGGGCACCGGAGCATTTGAAATGGTAACGGAAGTATAAAGGCTATTTCCGTAGGTACATAATAGATACTATAGGGTATTTTTAGTAATGACTCCGTTACTTATGCATCTGAGCTAAGTACCAGACTCGCTGAACGGGGTACACAGATTGCGTATGCGGGCATCTGTGTTGTAGTTGTAGGTATCGTAGTTGTAGGTATAGTAGCACTTACCTGTAACCACGTGTTGCTTAGCATTCCGCAGGAAATAGTTGATTGTAATCTAGACGTTGGCCCACACGCAATTACCAGACACCTATGTCCCGCACAAATATTTTGTTGTAATATTATCATGTTTTTTTAGTATTGTTTGTTTTAAATTAACGAGTAAGCCCTTGCAGTATCTCCGGTCGATTAAAACATGGCGTCCAGTAGGGTTTTATGAGAAACGCCGACACGGTTGAACTGATTCAAAGTGAACGCTATTTCAGTGATCAGTGCAAAAGAAATGACCAGTCCCACAAACGCAAATGACTGGAGCATGTAATATATAAATGGAAGTACATACTAGTTTTCCGTAGGCACATAAAAGCTATCAACGGGTATCACCACACAACGCAGGTATATAATGAAGATGACAAATCAATCCACATAAAAGACATTTACCAATTCCATCACCTCGATACACAATGCAATAACTTCCCAGATCAATCCAAATTGAAGACATTAAACAAATCCATCACCTCCACACAACACAATAACTTCCCAGATCAATCCAAACTGAAGACATTCAACAAATCCATCACCTCGCCACACAACGCAAAAACTTCCCAAATCAATCCAAATTCATTACATGTGTTAACCTGCCCTATTTTTCCATCGGGGTCTACGTTTCAGAAGGGGGGACCTTTCAATATCCTCGCCGCAATCGTGCCTCGGTAGCTCTTGACATCGCCGAAGTCCTCGCCGAGGACACCAACGACATTGACATCTGGACCTGCCCGCGCATAACACTCTGCGAACATGCAGACTAAAGGTCCACAGTCCAACGTTTCACCCTGGTGTCGGCATCTAATGTACTCGGGCATGTCGCTGACCATAGGCCATAGTCGTGACGCGTTCATATACAACGATAAAAATCGCGTCTGCACAAATAACGTTACTCTTTCGTTAAGGCATTCACCCTACCCATAGGCAATTAATTATGATCATTCGAAAGACGTACCAATTTCTTTGCATTCCCCTGCCCGAAGGGGTCGCGCATTGAGTTACACTCCAACACAACACGTTTGACGGTATCCAGTATGCAGAGATGCCAGTGGAACCGGGTGTGTACGGGTAGAAATATGTACCGGCACCCAGACCGGATTTTGTCCATGATTCCGGCAATCTCTTGGCCTACGGTCACTTGCAGCGAGTTGGCAAACGCGAGTACATTACCCTTATTGATGCTCGGCTTTTTCGCTCCCCTGCTTGGTCGTGATAGCGCGTCGTTCACGGCTTTCTGAAAATCGAACACAGCAATCAACGCAATAATAACAATGTGATTTGTAATACTAACCGTATAAATTCCAAACAGGATACTCACCGCTACGAACCATGGCACACAACCACACCGCACCTGCGGATTGTGTTGGAGCTGATATTCATTGCTGCATAGATGATATAGGTACGCG